GGTCTTACTGGTGTTTCAGTCCTGTGGTGTCACTAAACTTTATGGAACTACTTAAAACCCCAAAAAAAATTCAAGACAGAAGTCATGACATAATTTTTTCTTCTTAATGAAAGTGTTTTTAACAATTACAGGACAGTCGTCGTAGACGTGTTGCTATGGAAACCACGTTTACTTCCGGTTTATTGGCTTGTTGTGAGTTTCCGCTGAAACTTTCTCTCGTTCCTGAAACGTTGTCAGACATCAGCAGCCACCGGGATGGCCTCCTTCCCTCTCTGTTCGGTCTAACTGTAAACCGACACCTCCGGGCAGCGGGCGGGCCCAGCGCGCGGTGCGGCCCGCCGCTCCGGTGCGCGCTCACATGTGGCGGAGCTGAGGGCGACGAACATCTGGTGGAGCCAGAGATGCGTGTGTGAGAAGAAAGACGCTGAGAAGAAAGTTTGATGAAAGAAGAGCAGCTCTCTGAAGGAACTCTGCAGAGTTTTGTGAGTTTGTTTTACGTTTTCTGAGCCGTTCTCGTGTTCTGACGGTGGAACCACAGATAGATGATAATAGATAAATATTAAAGGCCTTCAGCATGTGTGGATGGGAGGATGAAGGCAGAGCACAGCGCTGATGGACATGTGGATCATCTCCATCATTAGCATTTATTTTATTTTCATTTTAATATTCGTGTTTTGTTCATAGACACACAAAACTGTTAGAATTTAAATCAGAGACCAACACGTTGCTTCCATGTGTCCCAGTGAATTTTACACTTTTTGTTCTTTCATACTGTTTATTTTCTGTCAGTTCTGTAAATAGTCCTCACATAACGGGTCGATGCAGAGCAGAACCTGTTCCCTGGACTCAGAACTCCCTGAATGATCCACTGTTCTGACTGCTTTATGGGCTTCATCTCAAAACAATCAACGGAAGCCTTTTTCTAAGTCTTGGTGCCAGAGTTGTGTTTTATTGGGTTTTGCCGCCGCTGCTGGAACACAGAAGGTGTCCAGTGTTGGGCCGATGGACCTTTCCATCCTGTGTTGATGTGAAGGTTATTTAGTCTGGAAGCAGCTGACGGGGAGCCGCGGGGCGAGAGCGCCGCTGTAGCTGAAATCTATACCTCCGCTGTGCAGTTGTGTCCATTCAGTACCGGCTATTCCTCCTCTGGTTCACATGACCTCTTTCAAGCTGCTACAACCAACAGCTGACACCTGAGACAGGCTGCAGAAAGCTGCTGCTACCATCAAGTTATTCATCTTGATATTTCATGAATAGTTCTTTCAAACGCTTGACGTGGACGTTGAACAGATTTGGAAGACAAAAGCGGAACGCTGCAGGTCACAGACCCGGTTTCTACTGGGTCTGTAGGAACACATTCAGTCTTTCTGTGACACATTTCCTGCTATCACTTGTTTTTTCCAGAGCAGACGTGGGAGCTGTGCCTGACATGTAGGGAGGCAGACTTTTGTTAACTAGTTGTGAAGTTAGTTGTTTACCAGACACAAGCTTGGGTTCGGTTCTCTGGAGCGGTGCTGAAGGCCACATGCACCCAAATCATCCATCACTCTGTCGTCTTCCATACGAGCAGCACTCGTTGTTCAGGTGTTTGAGCCATCGCTGCAGCTCAGATCCATCATCAGCACACATCTGTCCACCGCTGTGTGAAGAAGCAGCTTTCATTGCAGAAACATCACTGAAGCAAATCTCACTGTGGACGCGTTAAAGGCAGAGTGAACGAGGTGGAATAGAAACGCTGATGCATGCACGGGCCTGTGTGTGCGTTCCCGTGTTTCCAGACGTGGACAGTCGGCCCTGCAGGGATATAAAGGCTGCTAGTGTCTGAGAGCCGGCCACTGCTGACCTTTGCCTTCCCTTCCCAGCAGAGCCGTCCTGTAGGAGAGGTGTGAATGTTGCACCTGGATGTTTTGTTGGAGACAGAGGCTCTCATGCCCTGCTGGTCAGCCTGTAAACCCTCCTCAAACTTGGCAGCCTGTGCCCTCTGCATATACCTCGCCTCTGTCCCACGTCTGCAGGACGTGTTTACAAAAGGCCTTTTCAGTGTGTCTGCTCAGAAGCGTTTTCCTGCAACATCTTCACATGTCAGCCTGACGCCAGCCTGCCCTGACATACATACTGTATGTACGCCGCTGCCCTACTTCCCCTGTAATCAAGGCGCGAGGGAACTTTCTGCTGATGGAGGGAAACTTTATGACGAGATACTTTTGAACTTGTAATGATTATCCGCAGCGCCGAGCTGCAGGTTCCTCAGACGGTGAAGAGCTAAGCACGAGCTGTGATGCATGAACCAGACGTTTAGCCTCCAGGTGTGCATTTACTAGACTTTTCTACTAAAGATGAAGTCTTTGTTGCAGCTACGGTTTTGTTCGCTATGTTAGCGACATGGTTTAACCCTGTTCAGGACTGTTGGGCTCTTTTGGACCCCAGGTCATGTGGTTTAGGGGACAGGTGTTGTTTTTTTATTATTTTAAATATAAAAAGAGGGACATGTGTCGTGCATTTGGAACCAAACATACGTCAACTTATCAGAACATGTATTAACATAAAGTCTATAATGAACACCAACACATATTCTGCTCAGATTCTTTCTTGGGGTCCGATGGACCCAGAAACACCTTCTACGTATGAAACATGAAGGTTCTGGACGGGGTTAAGGGGTGACAAAGTTCTGTCTCTTAGCTAATCAATTGAATGTTTCCTGAATATCTTGCTGTGGCTTCTTTACAGACCTTGATGCTAAATATGAATGACGTTGACTTACGGTTAAGAAGAAGTAAGATGATGAATGTGATGAACAATAAACGATTGTGAACAAAGGTTTCCTGTAGAGACCATGTCTGTCATGGCAGCCTTGAGCTTCCAGGAACTCTCAGTTTGATGTGATGGATGATTGAAACACGTGCATCTGTGTCACAACTAAAACAAATCGTGCATTTTTGTGCTTTCATAGATTCAGTTTTGGTCTTTTGGAAATAACAGAATCTGCAGGTCACAAACATCCAAACAGCAGCTTTAGATCACAGTCCTAATCATACAGAAAGTTGTTTTTATTAAATGTTCTTGGACTCTTCACTTCTCTTCAGCTGCCAACACTAAAATGCTCGACTGCTTTTTGTGACAAACGTGTCTCGACCGTTCCATCAAAGAAAACTGAGAGTTACAGGAATCGTTGCACATTCACGACTGCCATGATGTCCTTTGACTTGACAAGTGTGTGCAAACTGTTGCTCAGGACAAAAGATGAGCACGTTAGCACTGATGCTTTCACTAGCATTTAGATGACAACTCAAGTAAAGCCGCAGAGAGCTGCTAGCAGCGCCGCATGCTGCATCCAGACCAGCAGCAGCCATGCTGCCGGTTCATACATGTGAATGAGGTCAGTTTGGCGATGCAGCACAAGCAGAGACTTTCTTGTGCAGTGTGTGAGTGTAGGACTGACTCAACATGTAGGCCGATGCAGCGCGGTCCATGTGCTCACAGCCTGTTTACAGCCAAACTCTCTCCTTCAGTGTTTTGGTGTCTGAAAAGCCCCAAAACGAAGTGATCCGTTACTCAGACCGACCCGCCCGGATCATTTGGACCACACATGTCCAGCCACCACGTCGCAGCACTTTGTTGCTGTAATGCTGCTTTCAGCCCCGTGTCTGCTCACTCGTGTTCCTTTCTAATGAAACGTTGGAGTCAGTCATCTGGCACAAACCGGGCCTCGGTTTCTCCTGTACATTACTCAGCAGACCCAGTGACCCAGTGCATATGTTGTCGTCTTAATTCCAGCTGATTAGCAGCGAGCATTACTGGCAGTCAGAGCAAGTCTCTGCATGGGGCTGAGCTTTACGACGGAGGCTGCTCTGGGAACAGCACAAATGAGCCATGCAGCAGCACCAGGAGACGGGCTCAGGGCTGCGGCTGTACATCTTATTAAACACAAGCTGCCTGCAGTCAGTCACTCTAATCCCTTTGATTAATGGCTGTGTGTATTGTTGGTGGTGAGTATCAGTTGTGCTCATGGTAGCCGGCGCCATAGCTTCTACCGATGTTGTTGTTTTTATCCATTCACTCCAAAGGATCCACCGCTGTTAGCTTTGACAATTATTACGTTATAGTCACTTGTTGTTTTCTTAAAGGATATTTTAACATTTTTAAACTCTGTCTTTCATCCTTTTGTTCTGTACATTGCGTGAAGAGCTCCTTCCTTCATGTCAGAGGAAGAGCTGAAGGTCCAGTGGTCAGCTGTCAGATAGGACCGCTCAGTTAAAGCGGCACCATCTCTGTTCCCTCTTTGTTGAATTGTTCTGTCAGAGCACAGCCCAGAAGCAAACCTGAAACAACGAAGAACTAAAATGCATCCGTGATTTGTCATCATTCTGCTGAACCGGCTTCACTTCATTGTTCCTGGGATGCTGTTGACTTGTCCTCTAACTCTGACTGTCTGCTGACCTGCTGACCTGCGTTTTCTTTTTAGCCGTTTAGCCGTGGCTTAGCCGTTTACAGTTTCACCAGCAATGCACCGAAACGCCGCAGCAAACCGTGAAAACCTACTTGGCAATAAAACAGATTCTGATTCGGCTCATTTAAGGCGACCGTCTCGTCCTGTTTCTTTCTCGGTCTTTTAGGAATGATTACAGGAACGTCCTCATGATGGGAACAGGAGCAGTATCTGGAAATAGGCTTGAAACATGTGACCCTGTCCTTCCTGCTGAGATGGCCTCATACCTCATTCCATGTTTACAGAATCAGAAGATAACAAACAAACAAATAAACAAAAATCAGAGTAACTCTGTAGAACACTAACAGGTTTGGTTTGGTTGGGGTTCTCATTGGGATTCCTTTGATATGTTTACTTTTCTTATTTCACGTATCATGAACACTTTTCTCTAAAGTTATGTGTCTGTTCTAGTAAATAAGAACAACCACCGGACCGGACCGGACCAATACAAATACAAACAACCGTCTGATGGTCTCCCCACCAGGGTCCTTCACAGACCAGCTGGAGCTGAAACATGGACGGTGACGTGGGAGCGATGAGCGACGGCCTGGACGGTCCTCTGAGCCCGAGGCACCTCACCGGGTTGGGGATGAGCTGTCTGCTCTCCCCAAAGAACAGACACTCCGGACCGGGCCTCACCAGCCTTCAGGAGTTCAGCCAGTGGCTGCCTTACCGCCACGACGCCAGCCTGCTGCCCATGAAGGAAGACCTGGCCTTCTGGCTCAGCACCATGATGGGTGAGGCAGGCCGACTGTGATCCACAACATTTGGTGGTTGCTTCGGTCTTTACAACTGAAATCTGGACTCGTGCCGTTTCTTTTAGAAAACATGTAGGTGTTTTGAAGTTGTTAAATTACAAGACAGGACGTCCAAGAATCACCGCCGGTTGTTGTTTTTTACGGCTGTCCTCGGATGGACACGACTTGACAACTCTGTTAGGGCTTTTATTTTGAAGAAAAGGTTTAAAGTCATGTTTAACACAAAGGCCCATTACCCTGCTTATTATCCCAAATCCCTGAAATACCTCTTCATGAGGGGAGCTTCCCTGGAACTCCAGGAAAAGGGATGCTTCCTCCCACTTTGCTGCATTGTGAGGGAAACATGAAGGGTCTGGACATGCCACGACCTGCTGGGAGACGTCTGCAAAGTGGCTCAAACATGACGGATTTCTGACTGATGTTACCACAAGAAAAGAGGAAAAACACAGTCTGTCAAAACAAGCTGTGTGGCAGTGATTTGTTCAGAAACAGGGAAGTGGTCTGACGATAACGAGCCGGTTACAGAGTGTTAAATAAATGCTGTGGTTCCTGCACACTTCAGCTCTTCTCAGACCAAACGTTCCTGTGGCTGCTTGTCATATTTTGTAAATCTATAAATCAAAAGGAGCTTCAAGGAGCTGTGCGTTGCCTTTATCTTGAAGGTTTTGTGGGCATCAGTGCAGCAGCGTCTCCAACAGACATCCGGTACATGTTTCTGCAAACGTTCTTACTTTAGAGTCCTCATCCACCAAAGTGTTTCATAAAATCCTTCATAAGTTAAAAGTACCTTTTTAAAAAAAACTGCAAACCCATCTTATTTGTTCAGAGTCAATCAGGAAAAATGGGTAAAAAGATGTAAGTAGTTTCACACTTTAACTGTTTTGTGGTTCCTCCTCTGGCTGCTCATTGGTTAGAAGTCAGATCAAATCCAGACAACAATCTGCTCATCTACTACTAACATATTGTTTTGGGTTTTTTTGGTAAAAAATTCACCAAAAGTCCGAAGGACCACGTAGAGTGATGGCTGTCCGTGGCTGTGTCTCTCCTCAGGCGTGGAGCTCACAGCAGACCGTCTGATGGAGAGGCTGGATAACGGCGTTCTCCTCTGTCAGCTGGCGCAGCTGCTGCAGGAGAAGATGATCCACGCCAACAGCAACAAGGTGCTGCTACAACACACAGACACACACTTCTACACACCAACATGTCACAAGAATTCAGCTGCAGAAACTCAAAACCACGAAGGGTTGAAATCCATCACAGGAACAAGAACGAGTCACAGTAAAGCTGAAAATAGCTCATAAAGATGTCCGTCAGGTTTTCAGAGAGCCGTTTCCATCCCATGGTCAGGAATCAGTGAACTGTAAAGAAGGGAGTTTTCTTAGAACCCAGACGGAACCGGGTCAGGTCTGAGGTGTGACAGCAGTAATGTCTGCTGGTGCATTCACTGGTTTTCTTTCACTAATCCTCTCTTTGCTACAGTTGTGTTTAGACAAGCTCTTGTTCCTTCATGCACACAAACGCTGCCGTATAATGGAGAGGACGTCTGTGTTTGTACTGAAGCACAGGTGTACCCCGAAAGACGGCCCGGTATCGTTTAGCGCTGGCTTCCAGTCTGTAGCCTGAAGCATTTATCCGTTAATGTGTTTCTGCAGAAATAAGAGTTTCCACTGCAGGCTCACTAACTGTTGAACACAATCGCAGCCTTTCATAAGACGAGTGATCCACTGGCGAGCTGACGCAACTTCTGGATCGTTTTTCGCCCGAGACAACACGGCCAACTTCCTGTACTGGTGTCGAAAGATCGGCGTTGATGAGGCTTACCTGTTTGAGTCGGAGGATTTGGGTGAGTTGATACCAGAGATCACGTCTCACATCACATCCACGGCGTTAGCGTTAGGAGCCTGAAGGCCTGAAGTGAGCGCGTGCTGCACGTCCCTGATTGGCTTTAGCGGTTTCTTTGTATTGATGTGTTTCTATTCAGTTTTTAATCTGTTCGTTGCTCCTCAGTCTTTTTTTTCTGAATACATCTCACGTTTCCAAAGTCCTGTAATAGTGCACGTGTTCAACATAGAACAAGACATTAGTTCATAATATATGTACTTCTACCAGTTTACTGTATGATTAGCGGTGTTAGCGGTCATTAGCGTGGACGCAGAGCAGAAGGAGTTAACTCCAGAGTCGGATTAGTTGTAACCTTTTTGGAAAGTTTGACTAAAACCTCATTGTGAACGTTTGCTGATTGAAGCTGACTCTGACACATCCGCTGTGCGTGTCCTTGCTTTCAGACTCCCTGTATTGTTTCCCCACAGATGTCTTGTGTCGTGATGCTTTGTGTGTCTCAGCAGAACCCAGCCTGCAGTCATGGTGCTACCGTGGCCTTTATCATTAAACATATAGTGTCTTTGCTCCTCTTCCTGGGCATGTCTATGCACGGCAGCAGATGCGTGAGAATGATAATGTGCAGGTTAATCCCTCTGATAATGCGCCGCCCTGCAGGCAGAGCGCCCGGCTTCACTTGACTAATTGAGTGACGGGGAGAGAAACCGTCCTGAGCTGTGACACCGAGGAACAGACCATCTTCTGTTCCTAACGGATGAATGAATGAAAATATGCTTTTAACCATAACTTGGTCTGGTCTGAGCTGTGTGTGCAGAACCTGCCTTTTAAATAAAAAAAGATAGCGGACTAAAGGCAGGCCTTGTGAATGAAGCCTTCATGCCCTCATGCCCTCAGCAGCACATCCAGACCCACAGGAATCCTGCTTCACAGATAGAGGAGCACAATAGGGCCAGAGAGCCTCCTGCAGCCTCTGCTCAGCTCACAAAGACCAGGAGTTTATCTCCGGAAACATCTTTCCTTTCAGATGAGTGACTTTTTCATTTCTACCCTCCGTCCTCTTTGTTTTGTTGCTGTGTGAAGTCCTCCACAAGCAGCCCCGGGAGGTGTGTCTGTGCCTGATGGAGCTGGGACGCATCGCGGCCAGGTAACTAGAACCAGCAGCAGAACCTCATCTGTCTGTGTGTGTCTGTCAGCTAGATTATAAATCAAGCTAAAATGTTTGAGCCAATATGAAACAGACTTCAGTGGTTCCAAACCTGATTCTGTCCCTAAACCAAAGCAGCCGTCCGCCAGCGAGACGCACCGGCTTCTGGATGTGAGCGCTGGAGGTTATTTAACTCTGTCAGTAGTTTATATTGTTACAGTATTTGTTCATATACTTGAGCCGTCATCAGTGTTTGGTCACATTTGCATTCCCACTGACTGGATGTTTTCACCTTTTATCCTCCTGCTCACACCTGTATGCTTTTATTGTGAAAGTCTCTTATCATTTTATTGGTCAGTTTTTATGGTTCATTTATTCATTTTTCTTAACAATTAGACTCAATTTAGTCATTTATCCGTTACTTTTAAACACCATTTCAACTGTTTGTTCATGACGTTTTAACTTGAACTCGCTCCTCCAGCTGCAGCATGTGTTTGCTTTCAGAGGACTTCATTGGAAGTGTCAGAGAGTGGCTGTTCCTCACGCTGTGCTTCAGGGTGGATGCATCTGTACGATGGCTGATGTGTGTTTGTGAACCTCCAGGTTTGGAGTGGAGCCACCAGGACTGGTCAAACTGGAGAGGGAGATCGAGCAGGAGGAGGCGGGCTGCTCCTCTCCATCATCCCCTCTCTCCTGCTTTCCTCCTGCTTCGTTGTACTCGCCATCACAGCCGTCGCTGCCCCCGGCGCCCTCCCCCCCACCGCCTCCACCAGCTCCCCTCACTCCGAGCGCCACCCGTCCGTCTGAACCCCTCGCCGCCTCCCTCGCCTCTGATCTTCCATCAGCCGCGACAGACCCGGAGCCGACGTGTTCATCCCCCCCTCAGTGCTCGCTCTCAGCCTCTAACCTCTGCACCACCACCGTCTCAACACAAACGCCTTTGTTCTCCTCGTCCTGCACCACCAGCACACCTGCTTCGACTCCGCCGGGCCAAACCCTGGTATCTGCTGCCAAAGTCTGTCCTACCCCAGTAAACAGCCACCCTCCTGCTGCAGCTCCTCCACCCCCCATCACCTCCCCACCAGCAGCACAGGCTCCTCGCTCGTCCAACAGATCGGCGAGCCGGAGGAGCGCCCGCACCACCAACACTTTGGATGACATTGTACGTATCTTGTTTGAGCTTACGGGTGTAGACGACGTGTTTGCACTCAGTCTGACTCTCTGTTTAATCTGCTACAGGTGAGAAACATCATTGAAAATCCCCCCTGCAGCTGCCCCGCCAAGTTCCTCGTTGAGAAGCAACCGAAAGGCTGCTACCGTGTCGGGGACAAAGTTCTGTACATACGGGTAAGTACTCTGGCATTGTTTCCTGGAAATGATGGTTCTTCTTAAACCTAAAGCACATGAGGAACACCATCTCCTGCACTTTGCGTACCCACCATCCACCCCGACCTCCTCCCTGAGACTCATCACCATCATAATACAGGCATCAAAAGATGGTGGCACACATGGACACAGCGCCCCCTTCAGGAGGCAGCAACAGCGAACGTTTAGTGTCTTATCCCAGAGGTGCTGGTGGAATGATCCTGATGAACGCTCTCTAGCCCTCCCTGTAGGACTGTGTGTGTACAGCAACATGACAATAAACTGGATTTGATTTGATCAAAAGTCATGTAGTAAAGCAGGAAGTTAAATAAATAAATAAAGCTCTGTCGTGACGATATGTGTCACCAGAACTTGTAGATTATAAACGAAACTTAGCGGCTCATCTGATGAAGACGCATCGTGGACGCTGCAGCGCATATTAAGGCCCTCAACTTGGAAATCAACAGTTGAGTCAGCAACAGGTGCAATCTGTGACTGATTAGCAATCAGTCACTGGGATGGAGACGTTGGTACCTTTCAGCCTCCCTGAGTCACGCTCCGCCCGTATGCGTCTGTATGAAGGCTCAAGGAAGGGAGGCAGGGTTGCTTGGCAACCAGTGGTCAGGATAAGACTGGGCTGACAATGATTGCATTCAGTACATAGACCTTCAGTGAAGAGTTCAAACCTGGAAGGAAAAACAAACACGTCTCTTTCAGGATGATTGTGCGGAGATGTGACCTTGGTGTGCCCTTTAAATGGCAGCCCACTCGGGAGTCGAGGTCCATCTGTGCGAGGAGGCTTTTGAATGTGAGAAGAAGGTTTCACTTTGCTGAATTATACATCCGTCCGTCTGCAGGAGAGAGAAAGCATAACAGCTCCAGTGTGTGTTTAGCGAACGCTGGATTCGTCCAGTGCCGTTCTTAAATGCAAAAACTGGCATGTTTAAAAACTCCATGTTAGTTGGAGATAGACCGACAGGACTGGATGAATTTCACACGTATATCTTCAGCGCTGAACAGATTTGTGTCAGCGTGCTGGTCGCTGGCTGCAGCCCATTAAATGCTTTGTTAATTGTGTTGAAGTCCCATTGAACCAACGGCCTCTAAATCAGTCCGTCAGCGCCTCCGTGTCACAGCTACGCTTTGACTGGCCGACAGATGTCATATTTTCACTGTCCGTTTAGAACCAGCGCTCCCCTTCGGGCCACAGAACACCTGTTTCTGCAGCAGACCTGTCAGTAGCGCTGAAGCACGCGTTTGAACAACACATCAAAGAAACCAGAGGCTATAAAAGTGTCACAGCGAAGCCGCTGCTTGTTTAAGGTCAGTTTAGCTGCATGCAGAACAAATACCTCCACAACTACTTTTCCTGTGTATGTGGACCTTTAGGCGCCGCCCGGCTCAGCGTCAGCGTTCAGCCGTGATCACTGGTCTGTGGATACGACTCGAGCTGCTCCCTTCTGCTTCCTCCCGGCCGCTGACGAGCAAACACGCCTCAGCTGTTTGCATGGAGCGATGCAGCCCATCAAGCTGCCTACATGCAGGAAACATGCCATAAACCTGCATCCCGTCCAGCGTGATGACCCCGGTGCTGAGCCCCATTCAGCGTGTGCAGACCTTTTTAAAGAGCAGATACTATTGATTACCACGACAAAGTCATTAGCGAGGGGTTTAATCAGACAGCTTGTTAATGAGCGACTGAGCATGACCGCCCCTCCCCTCCTGTAAACCCCCTCTATTCCCTCTGGAGACCATTCAGTCACGCCGGCCCTGGAGTGCTTCTGCCATTCTTTGGTGTTAAAATAGAGGAAGGCTTTTCTTTCTTCTCCGTGCCCAATTAGACTCTCCTTCAGCTTTGTAGCAGGGACGCTGTCTGACAGTGTCAGTAGGAGGAAAAGACATTCAAACATCTCACAATATCATGGCCCGTCAGCGCGCCGTTTATAATGCAGCTTTAATTAAAAAATACTGAAAAACAATCTTGTTTAGAAGGAGAGAGGAGCAGAGTGGTGACAGTTGGGTTGATGAGATGGTTTTTTCCACTTTCACCTGAGCGTGTCTTTTAGAAAACGGATCATAACCTTCTCTCTCACGCTGACCCGGTAGGAGCTGTTTGGTTTTGGTTCTGGAGTTGATTCTGACCTCCGACCTCACAGTGGATCAACCAAGAGGACACAAAGAGGGATTCATTCATACAGAAAACCTCAGAAACTGGATAAAGCAAACAAGAGGCGGCTTTGTTCTGAGAAGTGGTGGAAGATGATCAGAACTCTTCATTTCTTTTGCAGGTATTTTGTCAAAATGTAAGATATTCATTATTCATGACGTTCACCTGGAGGCAGCTCGACTGTCTCGGACAAAAACCTGCTTCGTTTGGAGCCCCATAAATCAAAACTAAGACCATCTACAATGATTTGGATTCATCTGATGGAAGTCCTTACAGTAGATGTTCAGTCTGCCATTAAAGGAAGATTCACCAGTAAGACGCTCCGTCCTCTGGTCATGTGACCGCTACAGCTTATAAACTTAGAGCCAGTTTTATTATAGAATAAAAAAACAGACCTACATGGGAAAGAAACGGGAAAAACTAAATAAATAAAAACAACAACAAGCCCGTGGTATCATCGTACAGGGACTCTAAACAGCACTGAGGTCAGAACCAGAACCAGAACCAGAACCAGGATGAGGCGTACCTACACTGCAGCTTGTCTGTTTACCTCAAAGTGTTTGGTACTGAGTGTTCTCTGAAAAATGGCATCAACAGCGAAGAGGGATGTGGCTAAAGCCTGCCTCCTACTGGCCAGTGTTGGGAAGCTTCTCCTCCCTGAGCACACTCATGCATCTTTCAGAAGGAGAGGAGAGAGGGGATCAATGGAGCTGCCAGGGAGGACACAAGGGAATCCAGACGCTAGTTCATGGGCTGCAGACGTAGCACACAGTGTACGGAGGAGGAGGAGGAGGAGGAGGAGGAGGAAGAGGAGGAGGAAGAGGAGGACTCCTGGAGGAAAGACGCTGATTCTGGTGTTTTCCTGGATGATCACTCTGGTGTGTTGGCAGCTGCTTCGACAGCGTTTGGTGTCGGAGGTGCAGGAGGATTCACGCACAGAAAAAACTGATAAATAACAAAAAAGACACGCAGATGAGGACTGAAGGCCTTTTTTTAATCAAACAGAAACCATTTGTTTTAATCACTACTAAAAAGTATGAAGCATCTTAATTTGAAACTACAGGACAACATGGGAAGTCTTATCTTCTGACAAAATCAATCTAGCTGCTGTTAGGTCATTTAATAAAATAAAAACGGCCTCTTTGGACAATGAGCTTTGCCTGGCGACGGAGTTTTTGTGAATGAAGAGCTGTCAGGTTGGCATTCCCTCCACGTCTGACAGGAAAGTGGTTTATTCAGGATGTCAGACTTGACCCCTGTCAGCCTCAACATTTTAATCTGCAGGATGACAGCTGAGACCGAGCGTCTGGACTTCCTGCAGCCGCCGGGTCGCCCTCCTGCGCCTCCGTTGGTTTATCTATTTATTTGATCCCGTACACGTGACGCCCACCTCCCACAACACGACCAGCAGATCTGCTTGTATTATCACGTCCTTAATGGCTCCATAATGAAGGGTTTATTGGCGATAAGGCGGGAAGGGGGAGGGGGGCTGACAGAACAACGGACGGCTTTGCAAGGCCTCCTGGGAGCGCTAATGTCTGCAGGGAGCTGAGGGTCTGCGCTGAACTCATCTCAATTTCTCCTTTCATTTTTTTTCTTTCTCCAGGATTTATATTGTGGCAGCAGTTGCCATGGCAGCGGTTGGTTTTCAGCTGTGAGGACGGCTGTCTGTGAGGACGGATGTCTGTGAGGACGGCTGTCTGTGAGGACGGCCGTCTGTGAGGACACGTCCAGACACACCTGACCTCACTGCTGCTGGCCCATGGCACTGTGCAGGAGTTCTGATATTTAAAATAGTTCTCATTAGATGTTTTGTGTTGTAGATCTGTGCAGTAGGCGTGGCCTTGTGCGTCACTGCATGCATGTGTGTGTGTGTGTGTGTGTGTGTGTGTGTGTGCACTCATGTGTGGATTAGTGTAGCGTGTGTGCTCAGCTGGTGCCATGAGACGCTGTTTCATTTGGTTTAATGAGATTTTGACAAAGCTATCCAAGAGATCATTTGCCTTTCATAGCCAGAGCTGCATGAGAAGCCTGTAAATATTAGAGTGGTGTGTGTGTGTGTGTGTGTGTGTGTGTGTGTGTGTGTGGAAGGAGGCTCTGCTTTTCATTTAATTGAGAATTCATGAACGTCCCAGCGATACATCAGCCGGCCCTTCATGTCCCGGCATCCCTCTCGTGTCTTGCAGATGCTGAATGAGCGTCATGTGATGGTGCGCGTGGGCGGAGGATGGGAGACCTTCATCAGCTACCTGCAGAAACATGACCCCTGCAGAGGAGGAGGAGGAGGGCTGGCAGGCAGACCTGAGGTCAGGGTCTGTCGGGACAAAGCCAAGCCAAGCAGCCTGAACAGCTCACCTGACAGCTACATGGTGGTCGGCGCCCATCACCGCGGTAAGAAGTAGGCCTCCACGCTCAGGCTGCTTCTGGCTGGACATCCACTTAATCAGCTGGAACTGAAGCGGGTTGCTCATCTGGAACACAGTCTGAATCACGCTGAAAAGGAAATCCACCTTTCACCGTTCATAAGCTGTAGAGTAGTGTTTTAAGCTGTTGTCTGTGTGACTCGATGACTCGATGACTCGGCAGCAACGAGTCACGTTGATCATCTGAGTCTCATTTCAAGGAAACTGTTTTCTGGTTGAGTTTGAGGATTTGCAGCTTTTCTTTGTTATGTTTGGTGACAAACTGAACTTCTCTGCGGTTGGGATGCTGGCTGCTCCTGGAGACGCTCAGACAGCCACTCAGTCACCAGGACGGGTTCTTTCTGGAGAGGTTCTGTTTAGTACCGTGTGGAGCTAACTGATCTACTCTGATTTGGACTTTTTTTTAGGTGCCGTTTTGTAAACCTACATTTATGTATCATGGTGCTGTAGTTAGAATTAGTTTGACAGCGTCGGTCCCACAGATCTGAGCAGAGCAAGTTTTAATGTATGAAAGTATTTTCTGTATCATTCTGGATTAAAAAAAATGTTTTGGTCTCTTTTTGAAATAAATAAAATAGTTTAAATATAAATCTGAATGCTGTTGTAAATAATAAATTAAAGCCACAAGCGGCGATGGACGGGTCCTCGCCCTACGCTTGTCGGCCTT